TGAAAAATCAGAAGATCTGGCCAGCCTGGAGTAGACAGACAAGAAAAATAATATAAAGAAAAGAAATATGAGCAGAACAGACGTTAAATTTCAACCGGTTGAAGTTTTTCGAAATTTTTGTCATTTTGGTAATCATTGCTAATTAATTGCTATATATTCCATTTATATATATTTTCTTTAATTTAAATGTTCTTTAATTGATTTGGTGATCAAAAGTGTAATTTTTGGTGATCAAAAAAATACATACCCGATAGAAAATGTAATTCTCTATCTCTATACGAAACTGTCGATTTTGTTTTGAAATTAATTTTGAATCGTCGGTGTAAAAATAAAAATACTGTAATGATACGTTATGAAAACTGATCACCTATACCTAACTTAAGTTCTTCTTAGCGTATCTGACTAAAAAAGCTTTATTAATTAAAACACAATTCAGGGTGAAAATTCAGTACGAAGGCCTATACTTGGTGTGGCAAAGCAAAAACTATCTAAGTCAAGATGGCTCTTGAAAGAGTTTTTTTTATAAAAGCTTCATAGGAGTTTAGGAGGATCCATCTTTAGTAGTATCTAATATTATTTTATACTTTTAAAATCAAATTTAGAATTTTATTTTCTGATGTATATGATCTTGTAAAGTGAGAAATTCTATATCTTCTGGTATAAAATGCATGACTCTAAAGTGTGAGTTTGAAAGCAAAATACCAATAATATGAATTTTGTCGCGTAGTGCACTACTCGCATTGCACTACTCGCACTACGCGCATTGATCGCGTTACGCGTACTGACTGTGACTTTTTATCGTGACTCGCTACGCGACATAAGCAAGAATGTGTCCACTATTTCTTCGATAAATTATCAAGAATTTTTTCTAGAAGATTTTGAATATTTGTTGAACATTCGTGGGAAATACCAGTTAAGTTGAAGAAGCTTAAATTTTTTCGACCAATCTTAAAAGTTATATTGTATTTTTACTAATTATGCTGTTAAACCAATAAAAACTAACAAAGGTTGACAAATCTCTAATGTAAAGTCAGTCTTGCAAAACGTAATCCCCTTCGCTGCCTGTAGCGTAACAATCAAAAAATAATAATTTTATGCACTTGATTATTTTCAAGTTATTTCAGTTTCAATCCTATTTGTACGGCTGTATCAAAAGATTAATCGGATGATTCTGTACGCCTTAAATTTTCTATTTATTAATATATGATGCAAGATCTTTTTTCATTAATTAGCAGAGATTTTTATGATGTTATGATGTCTATAGTTCTAATCGTATTTAGAGGAAAATGCACGATCGTCGTGATTAAAGACTATACTCAAAGCATTTGTATGGTTTTTAAAAAGAGTCACTCGGATAAACTTGAGTTGACGATAAATTTGAGGACATTTTATTTACCAACTTGAGGTCTTCGGTTTTTCATTTAATTTGTTGAAAAACTGTCGGCAAACATCGTTCATCATATAATAAACATACTAGAGTCATCATAACTTCTAAGCGTCAGTCAACATGAGCTCGAGCTGTAGACGAGGTTGAATGACAATGTCAATATGCAGTATTTTCATGACCTTTCTACATGGCCAATAGTACACAGTGAAAAATAAATTTAGCTAACGTAGGTATATTTTACAGGTTCGTCTTCTGTTAGTACATCTCTTAGTTTCTATGTTCAATTAACTGTTATTGTTAAGCTTCTTTAGGGGTTGTTATCTTTGATAAAAGAACCGCTGTATGTATCAATTGATTCTGAAAATCAACAATCTGCCAATATTCACTTGGCACTTGACTGCTTCCTTTTTACCCGAGTACACAGCTGATAAAGGTATATAGTAAATTTTTTTTACTATTCATCATCATAATCTTTTCAATCGGAAAAACATCAAACCGCACTGTTCATTAAATGTAATTAGTTGAACAAACAACATGATCAAAAACGGTAAAATAGACATCGAGAAATTACCTTCCCCATGCTGCTTGATATCTTTTTTGTCAAGTGAATGCTTTGATTTTACTAAATTTTTTTCCCGCTATTGTACTGTATGCTTATTGATGGAGAAAATTAAATGCCACGCCTGATATCGTAATTGTTGTATGTGAGAGAGGGATATGCGTACAGATGTACTAAAAAAGTAATCACTACTAGACAATGAAACTCAAGTATGTTCCTTATCCGAGTACATTGATTATCATGCAAGCAAGAGCGGCATGATCAAATAAAACTCGTCATTACCTTTTTCTCTCATACTTGACAATATATAGTAAAATTTCAGGTATGTGTATGTTTAGAGAACAAAGAATTGAAAATTATTTTTCATCCATGTACGATAAGAATCAAGCATCAAAATTCAATATCATAAATTAATCTTGAACTACACTGAGTTCATTCTTTATATCATGTTCCTCGAGCGGTATGCGCAACAGAGACAACAAAAATTCACTAGAGAAATATTTAACATGAAAGAATGACGACGCCTAATAACAACTATGTCAACAATCCATATATAACAATAGCCTGCTTTTACGTCGAGATACAAATTCCATGCATTTCCATTTTGCCACATATTCAATGAAAATAAGAAGGAAAATAAATTAACCGATAGCTCCAAAATCATGGAACATTTATTTTCTATGTTTTATGCACTCGAATAATGCAAATATTGCTCTCTTGGACTAGATTTTTCCGCTTAGTTTTGCTTGGATTCCAGTGAGAAAAGACAGAGAATAAATTGTTCTACAAAACCTGACAGTTTTTAGACTAACACGTGGCTTCTGTACAGAGAAAAACGATAAAGAGTAAAGCCATGCACCAGGTCCTACAATAATGGCGCACGTTACGAAACAAGACAATAACAGTTAAGTTCAATCTGTGTATCACATTTTAAACCCCATTTTTTCCCTCTCTTTCGGCCTCTTAGTGCATATTAAAGAATAGAATCTCATGTCTTCTTATTATTATACAGACATTGCAGCTTCTCATTGGATATAGTTATTCAGCAAGTTTTTTTTTCTTCAACTTCTCCATTTCTTGTTGTATAAAATTGACACGTATTGTTGTTATTAAAAGAATTGTGCTATTTTCGTCAGGTCAAATTTACTAAACATTCTAGACCATCTATGATCTTCCAGTTTCTTAGCTTACTAAAACAGCTTGTTCACATTGTGACCAGCGGCAAAACTATCTGTGTGAAATCGCAGTAGGATGAGCATTTGACTTGGGTTCTTCTACAGATTGATCACATCCCCGCTGTAGTGTGTGTGGAGTATGAGTATGTAATCAATCTGTAGAAGTACCACAACTTGTACCGGAATTATTAATTCAACACCTCTTCCTTCTCAGTATCTAGCGATACCGGATGATAACTTATAGTGTAAAGATGGATCATGTCAGTAATGGCCAGTGTTGGTACATGTCTAGCTAGATTCTCGTACATAACTTTAATCTTTCTCACTTTTTTTTTGTATAAGAAAATAACGTTTTAGTATAAAAACTATCAGCTTTTATAGAGCAAAAAACTGTCTGTCTTTTCTCAGTAGAACACTGTGTTCACAGATCTATGATTTACTTTATTTTCAAATTAGATATTTTGGAAACATCAATGGGGAGTGAGAGAAATTTGTTTCTTTTTTTAAATCGATAAGATATTCGTTCATTATTTCTAACATGCTCACTTTGCTTTTCCTTTGCATATTTATCATATACACAGATGGATAGTGAACATTTAATTGTTACTCACACATAGTTGGGTTGAGTTGTTCTAATCAAGGAATGTGTGATAAACGGGTCTTCTCTTCTGTCCTTCTACCCATCTATCTTTATAAATGTGTCACGCTATATCGCTCACTCTCTATTGTTCTTGCTAAGTTCATTCATAATGATAAATTCCTTTTACTTGAATCTGTGTATGACAATGGTTAGGGGTAGTGATAATCGTGAGAATCTCAACAATATATATTTATTTATGTACAGTTATATACTGTGAATGATACATAGAAGACAAGCATGATGAATACAGGACACATGTGACAATAATAAATAATCAAATTGAACAATTTTTTGAAAAATAACTCGTTAAAGACACGCCCACATACCACGTTTACTAATCAATCAGGATAGATCATCTCTCTATACTACAACAGCATGAAATGAAATGAAAATCATATTTAATAATCGTAGAATTAAAACATCTAAAAGCTGCATAAACAACAATGTTTTCCAAATAATAATCATAACTGTTGTGACATATTACGCAGCTAAATGAAGATTCTTCTCAAAAATACTATTGATAAAAATGTATTAAATTGATAGATGGATGTGTTTCGAACATAGTTTGTATAATGCTTCTCTCAATTTTCATGAGTATACTTGGAAGAATTTTCTATCTCTCATATTGGGACAAAAAAAAAAAATGCTGCTAAATGCTCGACAAATGATGAGTAATAGTTTTATACTTTGTTTTTTCCGTTTAAAAAATGTATTAGTTTTATTTGACACATTAGTTAATTTATTTGCAAATGTTTTATGCAATAAAATGTGCGAAAAAGTAACGAAAACATGCTATGTTTGTTATCAATCTATGAAAGGTTGTATAGATAAATTTTCTTTCTTACAATGTCACAATTGTACAGGTAAAAGAGAATATCGATTAAATAAATAAAAGAACGAACAAAAATAAACCATTCAAATGACAAGCACTTTTTATTTTTCAAACATCCAATGTCTCGTTGAATTTTTTTATCCTTCTTCGTTATGAGAGAGAAAGAGAGAGAAAGAGAGCGCGAGAAAAAAAAAGAAGAGAAAATCAAAATTCAAATTTATTCACTTAGACTCTCATTCACATTCGATTCATCAACATCATATTTTCTAACCTACATATCAAGCATATGAATTTCGTTTCTCAGTTATTCTAAACTACCTATGACAATTCCATCATCAACCTCAATAATAAATACAGATAATAGTAAAAAACTTAATTTATTTCCAAATCAATCACTTGTAGAAAAAATGAAAAAGACTACTACTACCACACCATCTACATCCTCATCGTCGACATCTAATTTAACGAAAAAAGAATTAAGAAAACTAAAATCTCTTTTACCAACATTACAACGAAAATCGTCAACTTCACCAATTGAAATTGTGATGGAAACAATTCGATATATCAGAGAATTAGAAGAACAATTAGTCGATAGATTCATAGAAACAGATTTTAATAGATCAAGTGAGTATGACTGAAACTGATTATTAAATTCTTACAATCTGGTAACCATATCATATAAAAGAGAACTGTATCTAAATCAAAAATTGAAGACATAACTGTATCTAAATTTTGAAAATGGAACCCGTTCTGGCACTTTTGTCGTTATCTACTCTTAATAAAACTGTGAATGTTAAAAGTGCTTTTATACTACCTACATCTTGCGAGTGAAGAGTAAGTTTAATATGAAATAAGGTTAATTATGCTGAACGTTGCTCTTTCACCTCATTTTCGTTCTTTTATCGAGACTGTTCTCTTTTTCAGATGTAAATTCAATAGTACATCATACCGAAAGTAATCAATCGGATTGCTCTGATACATCATCATCATCATCATCAGATATAACCAACACAGTTCTACAATCATCATCGGCCCATTTAACCGAACGTACATTACGAGATATCGGTAATAGTGAATAAGAGACGAGTATCGTATTTACGAATGTTTAACACTGTATCAAGTGTTCGAAAAAATCTAATTGGCTATTCTTATGTCGTTCCATGTTATATACACACTACACTGCGATCAAGTAGATACTAAAAATCATACATATGTGCACATGTGTTAATGTTTTATTTCAATGAATATGTTCTGTTTTACTTTGTCATCCAACATCATCATTATACAGTGAAAAAGTTTCTTATTTGTATGTACTATTGCAATAATAATAAAACATTGTGTATAGTCATTAATTTTACATTATTTTAAAAAACGGTACATATAGACAAGCATCGATTCGTTATTGTTCATCATGAGTACATGTTATATAAGACGAGAAATGTCACTCGCACAGGTAGTGTAATGATATGGAAAGAAGAGAGTAAGAAGGTGAGAAAAAGAATAATACATCATTAATGGATTTATATATGAAAGAAATAATTGAAATGAATAGAGAAAGAGACATAATCAATCTTACACAGCCTAGTTTCATCACTAAAGTGATTTTCATTAGCTCATTCATTCAAATATGTTTCACTTGTGTATAATGTGTATTAGTACAAATTGCTGAGTAATAACGGGAAAAAAGCAAGAGAAGGTAACTATTCAAAAGATAAATTTGGTCCAAAAACAACTGTGGACCTAGACTATTTCATGAAAAACCGAAGTGAATCTGTCCTCCTCCCTCCACCTCAGAAATTGAAATCTCATTGTTACTTATATTATTCAATTTCGACATTTTTAAAATTCTTGTATTTTAAAGACTTTATCCAGTACTTAAGATTTGTAAACAGAAAATTTATAGAATTAAGATAACCGCTTAAAGTTTTATCAATTCTAAGCAAGCAAAAGAATTTTTTAATAGTTCTAAACATGCTTCTTGTTACTGTTATTTGTTTTTAGAAATTGGCCTGATGGACAGATCTATGCACTGTTTATATAAAATTAAGTTATTATTTAAAACAGTCATTTTTTATTTCAACCACAGTAAAAAGCACGCAAAATAAAATACTGCACGTCTGAAACAACAAACATCTTCCATTTTGTTAATTTGATCAGACCTTGATGGCTATTGTAGTTTACAGATGTGCAGGGCCGCTGTTTTTGTGCCCTGAGCCCTGCCCTATAAAAAGTTTCATGACCTGGACCTGTTCTGCCCTATAAAATTTCTTGAATCGTCTTTAGTTTCCAGTGTGTATGTAGTTTATTCAATTCTACCAGAAACATATGTACAAAAATGTTGCGCTTTATTGATCGTTGGCAACATTATTTTAGAAAAAGATCTATACTCTGTCCTGCCTACGAATCTTGAGACTTGGTCTTGCCATGCCCTGTAAGGTCGACCTGCACATCTCTATTGTGGCCGTTTTGAAGAATTTTCGTTTTATTTATAAATTTTTGATATCCTATACTCATGATTACGCACACTACTAACAGCAAGAACGAGAAAACTATGTATAAGTATATATTTTCTTTGTTACGACAGTAAATAAAATGAAGTCATAAATCAGTCGAAATCTTGTGACATATTACGATATGCTGAGACAGGATGCACAAAACTCAGGTATTTCGAAAGTCTTATAAGATCTTGAAAAAAAGTCACAAGAATTTACATGGAGATGTAGTAATATTGTCTTAAAATTGCATCAGTTATTTAAAAGACAACTTCTACTTTACTTTTTCTTATTCCATTAGAAGAAGGCGAGTTATTTCAAGTTATGCTTCGTATATTACTGAATCGGTACTTTTCGGTCACTCACTGTTGGAAGAAGGAAAGTTACACTAACAGATTCATATTATAATTGAGAGTTTTCATATATTAGCGCATATAGCTATGAACCTATGAGGATTAAAGATGTGCAGCACGACAGCAATCCCCGGCAGAAGTTGAGGGGTACGGATAGAGCAGTCACCGGTACGGGTTCCACTCTTTTTAATTTATCCGAAAACTAGAAGGTTTTAGCAGAAAACCACAAAATTTTAGTGGAAAATCCAAGATTTTATTTATGACGTTTTAAAACAGTTACTTGATAACGTAATGATAACTTGACATCTTCAGCCGAAGAACAAAGGTTTTTAGTTGGAAAATGAAATGGATGAAATGTTTAGGCGTAAGTAGGGTACGGGTCTAGAACGGATACGAAGTTCTCGGGTCGGGTACGGGCGAAAACCGTTTTCGCATCGGGAACGAGTAGGAAAACGGTATCCGTGCACATCTCTTATGAGGATAGACATACTGCTCAAGGTATGAGTGAGATAACTTAGGCACAAGCCTATTCAATCACCCAATTTTTGTCACCTTTTAAGTTCATTGTTGAGCTTTCCGAGCTTATCATTTGCTAGAGACTATCGCGACCCAGCAGAGGTCACATTCCCTTCGTCACACAACCATATTTGTTTTCTAAGGTATGTCCTTCTGCACAGAAGATATGCTCTGTCAGAGCTGTTTCCTCATTATCTGTTATGTCACAACTTAAACAACGAGTTTCGTTTCTCTTGAGTCTTGATAGTACAAAAGAAAAACATAAAGCAGTGATGTTATCATAAAAACACTTAAATGATGTTGGTAAAAACATCACGTCAATTCAGTCCTCTGATTGCATCTGACAGCAGAATGAATACAAACGTTGATTTCATATCCCGAAGAGAGATGCAGCATGCCTTATCAGACAGATTGCTTCGTACTTGTGGCAACGATGAATATTTGAAGCAAGCACAGAACGGTAAGTTGATCATGTGTTTTTCAACTACATTCATTGCGGCACACACAAACCTGATGATTGCACTGTGTTGAGAATAGTGGAGAGAGAGAGATGATATCCATGGTCAAGACGATTATGATAGTATTACTAAACTGCTAATGGCTGGCCATCCATGCATATTCGACTGGGAGGATAGAACCGCGTCTAATTTAACTTGGAAGAACCATCACTCAATGTGACACTGCTACTCATCTGCGAGAGTAAGTATCCGCCTTGCCATTCTCCCTCCTTTACAGTTCAGAGGCTCTCTTCATATAAGAGAGACCAAGGATTCAAATTCGTGATAATGCATATTTGTTTAGATGTGACACAATTTCAATCGCTTTCGAATGAAGTGATTCTTGAAATCTTGAAAGTGATCTTGAATATTTCGATGCTTATGATATTCTTCACTCATTCCTTCGATTAAACGATCGTTTCGATGGACTACTTGGCAGCCTACAGTTTGATCTGAACTTTCGACGCATCAGCAAATCCAGATGTGACTTTATCTGCAAACACTTTCCATCGACAGGACAAATTCGTTCTCTGCGTCTGTCTGAAGAGGCCTCCGGTTGCGCTGACTTGTTTTTCATCCACTTTCCCAAGAATACTCTGGTAAATCTTCGTTCTTTATCCTTGTTTGACATCAAAGCAGACCAAGCGCTCAAAGTCGTGGTGCCGCGCTTGTCTTATATAACACAACTATCGTCACTAAGACCCAGCGTCGTGCCGAGTGCGTCGGCTCGTAATGCTTTTGAACGAGCCAATACCGTTTGCCTACTTGCAATCGATGTGAAAGTAAACAAGACTCTCACTCAACTTGATTTTAACAGCAACTTCATATCCGATAGAGGAGCTGAAGCATCCCAAGTTAAAGAATATTCCTGCAGTGTTTTGTTTTTGTGAAAGTCTTCGTGTTGCTTTGTCTTTGTGTGTTTTTTTGTGTGATTGTGGGCTATGTTTCTTGAATTGTTCAACAGTTGCAGCGCGTAAGACATACTGCAGTTATACGAGCTAGACCGAATTCCTTGCATTCAGGATGAGACTCCAGGGAGAGTTAGTACATTTATTCAGTTCGTGGCATGAAGCTATGATCTTGAAAGCCAGATCAGAATTGATGAGCTCTAGTTCGCAGACAAATGATGCTATTCAGTGGCCATGAGTAATGCAAAAGGCACAATGTGAAGTCTTAAAAGCGATTTTTAAGTAAAGCGTTTTCAAATCTTTTCGGTCTTTATAAACGTCGGCAAAGTTGAGCGTAAGTTTTGGAAATAGACGTATTGTCGGGTTAGTCACTATTGTAGCATTATATGTTAGTACTACAGATGCATATTCGTTTCTTATAAAACATAGAATGTAGGTAACGTTGACATTTAAAAACGTAGCCCCAAAACTATGACTAGTTTGTCTGAGTTTTTCAAACTCATCACGGTACGCATTGCACTTTTCATAGGTTTGTATACTGAATTCACTATCAGCTTCATCCAGTACCAATGACTCTTGGTATTTGTCTTGTAGTTCATTGTTATTGAGACATGGATCTTTAATAGAGGTCAATTGTAACAGGTGGCCAATAAAGAATGACAGTCTCAGTATTTCGGGAATATTTCATGCAGTTTTTATCGCTCAGACCTCGCCTTTTTTTCAAAAGATTCCCCATTCAATTCTCTACAAAAAAGTGTAGAAAGAGTTTCTACAAAATAGAACCGTGAAACTCTATCTGGTGAATATTGGCATGCTCTGAAAATACCCTTTTTCAAAGTATGTCTTATCATTCGTTGCATTTCACGTCACCATATGACTAGATATAGAAAGATTGAAGATGTCAATTTGTAGCTCTCGAAAATCCCTATCAGCCGAGCGATGATTGTTATTGGACTTCTCCGTAACCTTCATGCGGTTAGCTCAAAACGTAACTTTTCACAGTCGAATCTTTGCCAGTTCGAAGAAAAATGCTCTTTCTATCACTGCTAAACGACTTTATTGACATTCAGTTAGTGTTGGCAACAAATTGTGCGTGAAAACATAATGTTGAATTATTCCAACTCGTTTTTCAAGGCAAACTGTCCCTGAAATCTCGTAATACTATCCAAGCGACTCGTTTCAAGTGCCATGAGAAAGAGCATACTTGAAAATAGCGAGAAATGTGCACCACAGTGATTCTGCACTTTATTAGTCAGAGGGAGAAAAAAATTAATATTGTGAAAACGTGCGTTTGAAAACAGGCTTTTTCGGAG